TGCAACATTAATTTCTTGACGACCTATTACTTCAAAATTCCCTTGATTTTGACATGGTTACTCATTAGTTTTTTGGGTTCTATATGCAACTGCTAATAAGTATAATGTAATGTCGTCTAAAAGCTCATCAGATACTGAAGGTTTTAAACTTGTTCACTAGTTTTCTTATCATAATCAAACATATTGCTTCATTGAGTACAATAATATGAATACTAACATAAATATGTCTTAAGACACACTCATGATGAAATATTCAAAAATTAAAAGATTTATTTTCTTGATTAAATTTGTTATTAGTATTTGAATACCGTATTTGCCCAAATATAGTGTGCACTTTTTCCTCAAAATACCTCCCAAGAACTGACTGCACGTTATATTCGTGCATGTTCAATTTTGTTAAGTATTTTGCTAGAAGCTACCACCAAAAATCATTAAATCATCATTAAAGGTTCCAACAAATGTTGCATATCCATTGCAATGGATGGGACAGATGATGACATGCTGTGGTAATCAGAAGAGGATGAAGCAAAGGTTCAAGGAAGCAAATCTGATGAATCTAATGGTAGTGACAGTTCTAGCAATGATGAAGATTTATGTGAAGATGAATGATTAACTTGGTGTATTGTCACATATAAACTTTCCAATAAGATTTGTAAAACTGACACGTAAAAAAGGAAAATGCAATGAAAGATTTCCAAAAGTGTTTAATACATCAATAGTTGTTTACTATATTTAGAAACTATTCAATACATTTTATACAACTTGATGTGTAAAAAAAAAATCTTCAACTTAACCTTTCAAAATTGGGTGTGCATTATATTCAGGCAAATACAGTAAGTACATGGAATTTCAACAAAAAAGAAAAATAAGTGTGTGTGTGTGTGTGAAAAATTAGGTTAATTTTTTCATGTTCACTTCTTTTTCATATCTAAAATAATTCTGTTCATTGATTTGTTTGAGCGAATGTTTTTAAATCTTGTATGTAAAGCCTGAACTGAAATACTACTCATTGACATCTGTAATTTAATGTTAAGTCTCAGTAAGTAGAAATTAAACAATTCTACCTTGAAGATGGTTTCCAGAAAGATACATAATTACTAGAAGAATATTAATTTTGAGGCAGTAGTTATGAAATATGTATAAATCCTTGTAAATATGATATTACTTCTTCACACCTGAACATTGATTTGTACAGACGGTACTCTAAGAATCTCTTGCACACAGTCTTCATGCCCACCATGTGCAGCCCAGTGTAAGGGGGTACAACCAGCTTTATCTAATCCATTCACTGAAACCTAATAGTATTGAAAAACAATTATATAAAAAGTGAGCCAGAAACCACTTCAATTAATCATGATCTACCAGCACAAGTAGGAAGAGCTTGTTTGATTTTTTTTGTTTCTCAAATTAAAACTTAATTCATTGTAAAAGTGAAGTCAACAACTAACATTCATGAAACTTTTTGAAACTGTTGAAATTTACTATTTCTATTTCATTTTGGATTTGTTTAGTATTTAGTTCATACAAGTTTCTTCAAATTTTTAACAAAAAGAAAGTCATATCAGCAATGATAGCTAACATTTTCAAGCCACCTAATTTTACTACGGTCTTATTATCTTGTTTAAATTTTATGTTCAAAGATAAAAAAAAAAAGAAATAGAAGAAACTATAATTTAATTTTTTCTCAAAATATTTTACATCAATAAAATATTGCATAGTTAAAATATTTCACTTAACATCTGAAAAAAAGTAACCTTACAAATTCTTGTTTGTTTCAGAAATTCAAGCAAAGCTAAACAAGGGCTTTGTGCACTAGCCATCCCTAATTATGAACTGAGAGACTAGATAGAAGACAACTAGTCAACAGCACCCACTGCTAACTCTTAGGCTACTCTAACTAAACAGTGGGATTTGGCAATCACTCTTCTAATGCACTCACAGCCCCAAAGTGGAGAGTAAATTGTTGTGGCAATGGAATGCAAACTACAGACCTTCAGGTTCACAGTCTGGCATATTACTCACTAGGTCATACCATGCCAGTTTTGGTTTAAGTGAATGTTATCACTAGTTCATACCATGCCAGTTTTGGTTTAAGTGAATGTTATCACTAGGTCATACCATGCCAGTTTTGGTTTAAGTGAATGTTATCACTAGTTCATACCATGCCAGTTTTGGTTTAAGTGAATGTTATCACTAGGTCATACCATGCCAGTTTTGGTTTAAGTGAATGTTATCACTGAGGACAAAAAAACTTTAGGTATTATATATTCTGTTGTATTATACTTTTTTCTTAAATGTCAAAGAAACAGAGAATCCTTTCTATAAAACAAAACCTTTTTTTTTCTTAGACTGATATCAATAAAAAAGGTTGACAGAAAAAGCACTAACTTTGTAGAGGTAACCCACATACTTTATTAGCAAGACAATCTAAGAGAAAGCTAAGATTTCCACGTTTGGCAGCTTCATGCAAAGGATGAAAAACTTCTTCTGTATTATCTTCGACTGTATAAAAATAAGTATAAGGGCATTTAATTAAAACACTGTTGGTATTCATAAAATTCAATACAAGAAGTACATTATTGAAACTGATATAAACATACCTGCTTCTTTTATGATTTCCACTTAGAGACTATACAAGAGACTTCAAAATTATACTGTATTTAAAGTATTACAAAACATGATTCAAATAATCTTCAATTAAGTCTGTGCTGTAATTCTGCTAACCTTATAAGCTCTGGTACTACGTAAAATATCACACTAATGATGGTATATAACAAAGTACAGTTGACATGCTGTTATGCTCTATTTGCAGTGAAAATTTGTATTGGGCCAATTGAAAATAAATTAACTGAGATTATTATTAGTCTTATTGTAATGTCATATCAAACATAAAACCATAAAGGGGTAATGTTTTGCCAGCTCTGGTCTTACATGTCACAAAGCTTGATGTCTTATTTATATAAAACCATCTCTAGACTTTCTATATTGTAACCCAGCTACTCCCCCCCCCCATAATGACTTTTAATAATAAGCAAAGGGAATTAATTATCAGTGTGTATATATATATATATAATTGTTGAAATTATACATTCTTCCTACTGCAGCTTTGTAATAATGATCATAAATTGTGATCATTAAAATTAACATCAACCACATGATGTCCATTACACCCATTATCTTACAAATAAATTAAGACATCTGTTTATCAAATAATACACCTGTTATGAGTCACTTTCGGGATGATACAGAAAATTAATGACAATAATATGATACTTGACTTGGTAAGATAAGTAACAAAAAAACTGTTTGGATTAATTTTTACATTTTGTTATGGATCAACACAGGCATTATAATGGTCCTAATGGTAAACGTAAATAGAAATCCCAATCACATATTCTCAACATCATGATCATCCAAAACAGGTCATATCACTTAAATGAATCCTGTATATATCTATATATTAACTTAATTCTAACGGACTAAAACAATTATAATATTTTTAAAAAGCTACAATGTTTGTGTGTGAATTTCCCCAGTTCTATAGATTGTAAGCTTAATAGTTTAGTAATTGCTTGTAATATTAAGAGTACTACAACATTAAAAAAACTCACCATAATTACTGGGTATCAGCCCTACCTTCCCGTCACAACTCGCCTTCCACCAGTTAGGGTCGGTGATCATATCCAGAATGTATAAAATATCACCTTCTTCAAAAGATAACTCATCTGGCTGAAACAGAAAATTCTTCTTCGGGAAAAGTCAATAGACTCGAATACAACTAGTTACATGTTCACTTTCTCTAAATTTCACAAATAATACAACTGTAATTAATTAATTACTGTAGTATTTCCATGCTAATCATAACAATATGAACATATTTACTTTATTTCAACACATAAATAGAATAAAGTTACCTGCTAAGTAATATAACAATACAATTAAAATTCAACTAATTCATGAATGTAAGATAACTTGTTACACAGCATACTGACACGAGTTTATATTTCCACCTCAATGCAAGAGTATCATCTAGACTTACCTGCTGAGCAGAATAGCGATACAGGGCACGTACAACCTTCACTTGGCCTATAAGGAATAAATGATAAGACAACAGACTTTAAGTATGTTAAACAAATATAGGTTATCATTATTCCATTACATGTGTATTACAGTACAAAAAAATATATATTTAACACAGTTTCTTACAGCTACAAATGCACCTTCTTTGTATATTTAGCTGATGTAACTTGAGGTTTTCTGTATTTTTATTCTAACACTTATGTTCTCTATTGGAAAGCCCTTGAGAATGATGACTGATAGTCATAAGATTACTTGGCAGTTCCAGCAGTTTACATTTTTACATCATCCGTATACTTTTTTGTTTTGGTTCTTTTTTAAGTTTACATATATTCATCATGAAGCTTTGTTGACTCAGAGTGTCTACTTGTTATAGTTTGAAAACTATACTAAAACTGCAAATTACAAATTATATAAAGTTTGTATCTGTTACTGACCTGGCTTTGGAGCAGGTTTTGGGGGGGTTGGAGCAGCTCGAAGTAACTTGGCCATTTAAAGGTAAAAATCCTATTATAATCTTTGGAGAACTCAATTGTAGCTGAAAAATACACATGTACTAGATATAACACAATGTTACTGGCATCTCGCATTTATACTTTTGTGTGTTTATATTTAAAAGTTTTTATGACAGATCCATAAAATAGACTACAAACTTACAAGTATGCAAAAAAAACATGTTGTAAAGATCTAGTTATGATTACTCATTTATATGAATGTCTACTTCACAGGTGTTTAAATGGAACATCCTAAAAATATTTTACTGAAAAACAAAAGTAATTTTTTGGCTTAGAAAATTACATCATAAATTTCCACAAACAACAGTCTTACTAATTCTTCTGTGGGAAAACTAAAAAAGGCTATTTTTCAACACCCCATGGGGATTTCCCACTAATTTTCTAATCTACAGTTTGTTTATACTTTTAATGGTGAGATAGATCATAAACAATGCTCTGACTCAGTTTTATTTTCTTGCAGTGAGTAAGATATATAAAACTAAGCTGAAATGTTTTTCTTAAGCTAATCCTACCAGTCCTTAAACTAGTACATAACAAGACTGTAAAGAGTAATGTTAATTTTTTTGAGACAAAAATAAGGTTAGGAATTTGATTTATTAAAACAAATACAGCTAGCTATTATAAAAATACTGTCCATGTAGTATGAACATGTAAAGAAAAAACTTTCAAAAAAGGAAGTAAATGTAGGGATGGCTAATATCAATATTATAACTATTCAATCACAACTGAATTTAATTTATCCTATTTTTGTCTGTTAACATTCTACTACACTGTGTGCATGT